CCCCAAAACCCCAAAACCCCAAAACCCCTAAGCGCATTTAAATGATTGAATCTAGAACAATAATTTCTTGTTTTCGATAGCGTAAATGTCATAGGCGTCAGCATCAGCACGCATAATTTCAGCTTTATCATCTTCGTCTTCTTCAGAGAGTTCAAATATTGCAAAGTTTATGTCATTTGGAATGTTACCAGCTCCCCCTGGGAGGTTCACCTTTTGGTTGACACTGTGCAGTCTGCGGGACTTCCTTCTCAGGCCTGAAGCTTGACTGAAAATAGAATTCTTTCTCAGAATATGTTGATTTCTTTTCAGTAATTTGCTATAGGAATAAACTGATAGAGTTACTTAAATCCTTCTGGCTCTTCATTCATAGCATATTGGTCATCATCAAAGAAATCTTCGTCAGGGTTATTGCCATCGAACCTTCTCTTATCATAGTTCAAGTCAAAGTTTTTGGGGTTGAATAAAGGAACTTCTGTGGATTCGAGTCTTCTCCTCTAAATATATTACCATAGATTTTACCTTCAGAGCTGTTTTAAAAGCTCCATGAGTATGGGAAACAGGCTCTCTATACATAGAAGAATTGGATCTCAAGACTGAAGAAGCTTGGTTTTGCTTAGAAGTGATATCATATTTTTTAAAATTCCTTTCAGTTTGTCTCCTATTTTTAAAATTCCCGAGTAATTCAAGCCTTCGTTCAGCATAAAGCTCAAAGTCACCTTTATTACTTTTTCTATGGCTAGATCTTTCACCTATGATAATTAAAAAAAGATTACTCATTATTTCTGAAGACTTTGCGATATTAGCCTTGTGTGAGTTATTTATCAGAGGATTTTTCTTCTCATAATTCGAGCTAAACTGGTTGCTCTCATTAGGAGATTCTTTATGTGAATCGTCATAGTTGAAGAAGTCTTTATCATCTTTCGGTTTCCCTGAAATATCAGCATAACCTTACTCTTGTTAAGCTTCTGATCTCCTTCATCAGTCCTCTTCTTTAAGATTTTTGGTTTTGAAATTATTTTGATATCTGGGTCTTCAATTCTTTCATTGAAACTTCCTCCAGGAGAGTCTACATTCAGTATAAATAGTCTTAAGGTGAAATATCCCGAATGAAATTAAGCAATTGATATGGCTAGAGTTAGCAAACTTCAGAATCTATTTAGTGTCGACAAATATTTCAGTAATGATCCTGCTTACCCTGTAGATTCTAAAAATTATGTAAGAAAGGCTTACAATTTGTGAGAAATTATCTAACACTTTGGAGAGTTTAGATAGTCCAGATGCCTTCGATTGCTTAGAGTTTTCAGAAGCTTTGCTATTCCCAAAAGAGTCTTGCTTCATTGTACTCATTTTCGTGACGTCTATTTTTGGGAAATCACGACGAAGGAAGTTGCTTTCAGTCTTTTTCTTGAATTCTTCTGATTCTAAGTCAGCCTCAAGCATATCTGACTTATCTTCTTCTTTGTCCTTCTTAAGTTCTGTATAAAAAATTAGAGCAGAATAGAAAGGAAAAGTAATAGATGCATATCTCTTTATGCGGATTAAGATATTAATTGGTATAATTTTAATTGTCCAAATATTTACCTGATTTAGGAGTTTTTAAATCTGCTTTACTCTTCTTTCTTTTCTTTTTGCTCTTCTTCTTTTTATTCCTCCTTTCTGTGTCAATACTGGAGTCATAAATATGATCATGTAGCCCAATTTCGTCATCATCATCTACTACTTCTTGGTTTCTTCTGATGACATCAATAATGTCTTCTGTCCCTCCATGTTCAAGATTATGCTTGATCATTTCTCTAATCTCGTCATCTTCAATTTGTTGTTTTCTAAGAGCTTTTGAGTCTCCTCGGATCTCTATTTCCATGTTATTTCCGCTTGAAGCTGGATTGTTGCACATCAGAAATTGATTTGTTGATTTTATGGTTATTGATGGACCTCAGCCTTCTGAGATGCCTTTTAACGTTCCCTTCAATTCTCCAGAATTCCCTGCACTCCATGGCCATGTGTCCTAGTTCATTACAGACGTAGCATTTTACCCCAATTGGGGAGAGATCTCCTTTATCTCTGATCAAAGCATAAATTTCTTCAAATATTTCCTGATTTTTGGCATATATTTTAGAAACTTCATGGAAACTTTCTCTATCGATAAACATAGTCTCAGTGAAGGTTTTAGCGGTCGAAGTAGCTGCTCTTGGAAGGTCTGAGAAGAAGGATACTTCACCAAAGCAAGTTTCTACTCCTAACTCTTTGATGAATGTCTTTGACTTTTTATGGACAAGAAGAGCACTTCCTTTATTGATGAAGAAAAGCTTGTCTCCAATATTTCCTTCCTCAAATATATGATCATCAATCGTGAACGTGTGATGGCCAAGCTTGAAAGTAATTTCACTGAGGAATAGCATCGAGAAATGTTTAAAGACGATTGCACTTTGAATAATTCTTCCGTTAAGATAGACAATTACATTCTCTCTAAGGGTATCATTGAGCATTGCAAGAACTTCTCCTTCTTCAAGCTTGTACATTTTCTTGTAGTCACACATATACTCAAGATAGCTCATAATAGAGGTCTTAAGCTCCATTGGTATATTCTTGTGAATTAGAAATTGGTTAATATGGGACATCCTAAGACGAAATTCTGATACCATAATGTTTGACTTATTGACTATCGACCCTATAGATCCAACGATATAGGCGAAAAAACCTCAGGCAATAAGCATTGCTAGCATTCCGTATATCTTTTCTAAATTTGTATTCGGGCTAATGTCACCATATCCAACTGTTGTAATAGTGGTGAATGAGAAGTACACACAAGTAATATATTTTTCGTAAAGTGTAAGATCTTGGATATCATTTATGACAATCCATGTAAGAGGCTGCACTGAAGCCTCATAGTCTCCAACAAAGTAGAAGGTGCATGCCATGAGATGGGTCATGAAAAAGATTACCATCAGCATTTTCAGAGAATCCATGATCAGAGTCAAAGTATCAGTTACTATATATTCCTCAATCTTGTAAACCAGTCTTTTGATCTTAAGAACTCTGATGAGTCTTAAAATTCTTAAAAATCTTATTACCTTAAGCAATCTCAGAAGCTGAGGAGTCTGTGACAAGGAATTTAAGCCTGAGGACTCAGAATCTTGGATAAAAATACTCTCTAAGATAAATGAATATGGAAAACTCGCAAGAACATCGAGTATGAACCAACCTGTAGCATAATTGATCATAATTTTATGCCTTTGCAGGACGAGGATTCCTTTGGAATATATTCCTGAATTGAAATTCACAAAAATATCTGTCCAGAAATATATATCCATAGCAAATTCAAGCATTGCCCAAAAGCCAATTGCTTCTGAATCAAATCAGATTCTGTAAGGAACAAGTACTGATTGATAGAAAATAATAATAAATCCAAGTAAGGTCCATGCCATATGGCCTGTAGAATCTGGTCTGAACACTCCCCAGCTCTTTTTAGAGTCGAATTCACTGACAGCAGACATCATTTGAGCATCAAGCTCATCTTCATCAGTACCATCATTAGCAAGGTTGTGGGCTTTTATAATTCAAACTTGATAGATCTCTCCATTACAGAAACAGGTTCTTTATTCCATGGAGTTTGGTTATTAAGATCACTCATCATGGTCTTAGTAATACTTCTATCCTGGCTCTTATCCAGGTCTGATATTCTAGCATACTTCCCATCTAAGGACATAGGTTAGGACAGCTGCAATTGAGAGGGAAACATACCTGATTTTATAGTTTTCTCAAGCGAGAATTCATCCTTTTTCCTACTTTTGCTTTTATTCCTAGAAACCAAGTTCTTAATACGCTGGCTGAAGGTCTGTACCTCTACCTTGGGGCTCTGAGCCATCCTGGTAAAGGCACGTAACTTCTTGGATGCCTCCGCAATCTTTTGCTTGTGCTCTATACGAATTCTATTTATGGGTTCCAAGCTAATTCATGTAATGTAATAAATTTTTATGAGATTATTCAAATCTTGGGATTTACCCTTAACAGCAAAGGAAGATCTCTAACAAAGAAGTATCCAATAAACATTAATGGTTTTCAGTACGTGGCTTTTGCCAAACGATCGCAGTTTTCTTACCCATTTCACTAAATTATTATATTCAATTTCTCAAGAAGAGGAGGGGTTTTGGGGTTTTGGGGTTTTGGGGTTTTGGGG